TACTCTGTGTGTGTGTGTGTGTGTGTGTGTGTGTGTGTCTGTCTGTCTGTCTGTCTGTCTATCTATCTATCTATCTATCTATCTATCTATCTATCTATCTATCTATCTTCCATTTTCATTACAAAAGTATAATTTAAAATTCTGTATTTTCATTGCTTTATTCCTTTTGAAGTAAGCCTTGATTTACAAAGTACAAAAGAAATAGTAAGTAACAGGCTAAATAAAATGGTATAAGTAGAAAGATAAAGAAAAGGAAATCTAACTCAAGCTAATTTATACCATTTATTACACCACTTGATCATTTTCTATCATTGCTCTTACCATGCTTATATATTGATTCATATACTGTATTTTGTTCTTCATGCCTCTCTATTTGTAAGGACCTCATCAACTTCATCCAATTTTCCTATCTTACCTTTCTCTTAATTCATCACTCTTCTTTCAAATATTTGCCTTATGATTCAATTCTCTTTCTGACCTATAAATTCAGCATACTTCTTTTATACTGTCACTCTCTTTTCTATTCAATCCACATTTGTTCAGGACCCATCTGTTTTGGACGCTATCTCTTCTTGTTTTACTACACACAGTTAAATTCCCTGTTCCCACTGTATTCAATTTATGTTTCTCCAGGCATACTCAGTTCTCACTTTTGTAATAACAAAGTAGACAGAATCACACTCATAAACAGCCATTTTTGCTTCTTTTCACAAACATTCATTCTCTACTGTACAGCAGACAAGATTCTACTTACCACATTTTTTCAGCATGTTCACATTTTAAAATTTCTCCATCCATTTTCTTATATCTTATAAACATTTTAAGGTACACAAATTAGTCTACTTGCTCTAATATTTCATAATTTATGAATAAGTTGTAATTGTTCACACCATTTTCCCTATCGGTCACAAATACTATGGCCTCGATTCATTAATTTTTAGATTTATATGATCCATTAAATCATATTGTCAATCTAACATTTGCAATGCAACATCTGCATTGCCAAATAAACATACTCTGATGTCTCCAGCCAGCATACCTCTAACATCACCAGAAGCATTCCTTACATATTTTTACATTAATGTTT